CCACCTCTCCTCAGCGCCTGCCTCAGCGAGGCCTCACCGCCATCCTGCCCCACCACAGACCATGGAGCCTGGCCGCAGCCGGGAGAAACCACGTGTGCCCCTTGTCTACGTCAACACCTTCGGCTCCCACCGCTGTGGCTCCATCATCCGCTACGGCCAGGGCTTCCAGCAGGCTGAGGCAGGCCGGGCTAGACCCCGGCTTTCCCAGCCAGGCCCTACAGGCGAGGACAGGAGGCTGAGGGCCACCCCGGCACTGGGGGACAAAGCCAGCCCTGGGCCACCCGCCACCGGTGACAGGGACCAGCAAGTGGGGAGCTGTGGTGTGGCAAAGCCTGTCAGCCGCCATCGTGGTACGTGTCACTGAGCCCTGGGGACCTTTGTGCACCTGGGCATGGGACAGCACAGGGTTGAGTTCAAGCACCCGCCATGTCCTCCTCTTCTGGCGGGAAACCATTTCCCTGCAGTGCCTTGCTGATACTGTCCCAGCAGGTTCTTCCCTCTCAGACAGATCGAGCACACTGAAGGGTGAATGTGGCACAATTTTTTTTTTTTTAATGTGCCTGGAACAGCTAGACTGGGTATTTAGGCAGGAGGTGGAACATGGCGTCAAACTTACATGAGTGAAAAATTTAATATTTTCCCCCAAACTCTTACACTGTTGAGCTACAGCACCTCCATCCTGTCAGGTGAGGTGGCTGCCCACAGTGCAGCCTTCCCCATCCCTTCCTGGGGCAGTGGTACGGCCAAAAATAAGCTACATCCAACAGGGCTGCTTTGTTACACGCAGGGTCTTCTCCCTGCCACTTCTCAGGAGATTCCCACCTAACTGCAGAGCCACTGTGCTGCTGGCGCCCTTGTTACTGCAACAGCCTGAAGATGTTTTAAAATTTTCTTTCATTGTGGCTGGGACAAAAGAAAGTTGGGATGGGCATGGGTGTGGGTGCCTTTCTTTATAAAAGCAAACAAAAAAAATCAGGCAGTTTTCACTGGTTGTGCTCTGTTATGAAACACATCTCTGCTGCACAAGATGAAATGGAGTGAGAATGGAGAATGTGAGCTGGCTTCTGGAGAAGCAGCTGGGGCGTGAGCTGGAAATGATGGGCGACACAGGGTGGTTCTGCATTTTACCAACTTGTTGCTTTTGAGATGTTTTCATTTTCTTATATTTTTTTCATCCTCCTAAAAACTGTTTTTTCTAAAGATAACAAAGTGAAATGTTACATTGGTCTGTAATTAAAAGCACCCATTCAGCTGGGTTATTATCTAACTGACACCAACCTGTGGCTCGGAGGCAGCCTGGGTAATCGAAGACTTGTTCCTGCAATGTGGCTGCCTTCCGTGTCTGTGGTGGGGCTGTGGTGGCCTGGAGGATGCTGGTTTGCCTGAAGCCTTGCTGCAGCAGGGGACAAGCCCGTGGCTGTGACCACATTCAGCATTGCCACATGGATGCTTTCTCTCAGCTGTACGCCATGCCCTGCCTGTCCAGCAGCTCCTTGGAAAGCTGCCGTCCTCACCCCGCTGGGAACTCACCCGAGTCCTTCCTCCTTGCAGCTATGTGTGTCTTGAGTCCTCAAGATCAACCTGCCCGTCTTGCTTCTGTTTTTTAGTGTTAGCAGAGGTGGTCTGGCTGGTTTCTTGCCTCAGTCTACTCACCCATTCCTGTTTGAGCTCAGGCAGTGTTTTAATAGCTGCCATAGCAAGGGGAAAAAGAGGGAATTAAAAGCTGATTGTATTGCCCAGAAACCTGTTGTCTTAATTTTTGGCTGCTGTACAGGTTTGAAATCTGTTTTATGGAGTTTGAGAGACACCCACTTGCCCCATGGTTATAATGGAGAAAATAAGCAAGGCGATAGTCAGCATGATGTGAGGCCTGGCATCCTGTAACCTGTTGGGACCATAAATAAGTATCCCTCTGGAAGATGGGGAATTTACAGCTTCCTCAGGAATATATTGTAAACACTCAGGATACGCTTTCTAAATTTTCTTTCTAGGTGACCTTCAAGAGGCTAAGGCTGACACCTTTGATTTTCCCTTCCCTTCAAGAACTGTTGATAAAGTAATTAAACGAAAGAAGCAAAAGGTATAGAATGTGGAGCTGAATTAGCTGCCTTTGCATTTGAGAAAATTGCTTCCTGTCTGTCCTGTATATGTCTATGTGAGAACATGAGGGCGATTAAAAGATTGTATTGGTAGTCTGTTACTGAAAACCTTACTTAGAGAAAAGAAAAATGGTATTATTTTCCCCTCTCTGGGGGCTTTAAAATTCTGGCTCTCATTCAATAAGACACTTAAGTGTGTGCTTACCTTGAAAAATGAGAGTATGCTGTTGACTTAAAGCCTGTACTGAAATGCTTTGCTGGATTGGGGCCAGGATGCTGCACACCTTGCTGGGTGAAAGCCGTCAGGGAAAAGCTCTGCAGCTCTTCTTCCTCTTCTGTTTTAAGCAAATAAATCCCACAGGTTACAAATAAGTGAAGGTAAGAATCAGAGGTATTAACACCATACTAGTACCAATATGAAATTACTTTCTGTTTCACAATTGTATTTCTGTTCCTGTTCAGTAGTTCAACAAATGCTTGAAATTTTAAAAGGCACATTTATTAAAACAGTAACTCATAGTGAGATTTTGTAATGTGTGAAGTACAAGTAATCAGCTAGACTATAATACAGTAATGTCGCAGATACCTGATTAAAAACCAGCAAAATACTACTGACTGTGGAGGAACAGCTAATAACATACCGTAATATCATTCTTGTAGTACATTAAATAGTCTTCAAAACAGTGAGGAATATGTATTATGTTTTAGCAATAAAGGTCCATTAAAAAGGAATGATCTGTAGATTTAAACTAGTTTCACGGACGGGGTCCAGCAAAAATCATAACGTTAGCATGTTAACAGCCATTTATATTTGTGAGGCTGCCTCTCTGTCTGAATGCCTTTGTCAACTGTTCCAATTTGGTATTTTTAATGCACAAGTCTGAAATGTGCCCACTAAAGATGGCGTTTTATGCTTCTAAAATAAAGGTCATCAACATCTATAAACCAGATTAATATGGATTTGATATTAAATAGTCAAGGCCATTGCTATTCTGGAATCTGAGCATGGAGTCTGAATTATGCTGCTGTTGAGGGATTGCGTAGGGAAGTTTTTGCTCCTGGAAAAATAAGCAATCTTGTATTATTCTCCTCTGCCCAACCCCGCCCTCCTGCCCTTGAATGACTTTGGAGAGAGTTTAATGGCTCTACACATGTTTTCATAAGATCTTCTTATCTAGAAGGGCACTTCATAAGTCCTGGATAAACAAGAGTTCTAGGCAAGAACTAGGAGAATATCTCATGTGAAAAATTGTGGAGTAGTTTATGTTTTTTGACTTTTAAATAGAGGTGATTCTTCCAGAATATCCTACATAGGTATCCCTCCTGCACATCTCCCTCTTCCCAATCCTCAACAAAAAAAACAGTTGGACTTCATAGTCACGCTGGAGAATTCAAAGTTCTGCCTTTAATGTTTAGATGTTTTAATACAAACTTTTTGTAAGCTTCACTGAGAAAGTTCAATTTTATCTTTCAGTCCAAAGTCTGGTTTAAGGTTCAGAAAGTAATTTCAAAAATGCTTGAAGAAAATGAACAGTTCAGAAGTCGACTCTTGACTTGCAGTCAGTCTAATAGAGAAGGCAGGTAATAAACTGATAATGTTGTATTTATCTAGAGCAAAAAAAATTATTAATGGAAGTGCTTTGATTTAAGATTCCTTGGTTTAAGGTCCATTCAGCTGGACTCACAAATTATGGAATCCGTTGCATACTTTAGACACTGCTAACCATATTTGAAAATCCTTATGTTTCATTGAGGGTCTTACGTGTACTAATTTGGAGGAAATATGGAAGAAGTGTTTTCTGCAGTCTAACATTAGAAACATTAATGTGTAATATCTACAAGTTTTTCAGAACAAACAAAATATGTAATTAAACTATTATTCACAGATTGGTCTAAGGCAGTACTTGTATGAATAATAATTTATTTTTTCACATAGGAGAATAGTGGTTGGTTTCACACAGACAGTAGATAAATTAGTTGCTCCCCAAAGGTAGCTGTAACACAATTTAACATAACCATCAAACATGTTCTCACACTGTGCCCTGAATACAGTTATTTCATTATTGGAAAATGGCTCAGGAATTAAAACTGGTGCTCTGCATTGAGACAACTTCAATTAGAGACATTGTAGTTGTTGCACAATTTAAGATAATACAGTGTATGCTCACAAATGTAATTGGAATTTCTAGCCTCACAGTCGGATGAGATTTTAAGAAAAAAAATACACTGATCCACGAAGAGTTACCAGGCAAGTTAAACAATGCCATATTCACCTGCAGTGCTTCTGCTTAGCTTACATTTGTGTTGATGGAAGTTCTCCACATGTAGGCATGTTAGGGTATATACCCAAATGTATGTCCATTGTTGCCAGTATCTTATTTTTATAAAACGTTAGATGTTGCATACTGATTATATTTACACATACATGACAAGAAAATTCTCTCTCAAAAAATTCTCTTCATGAGAATGAAAGAAGTGCAATTCTGGTTCAAAACAGAAATCTGTCTACCCCAATGGATGTCCCCTGTGACCTACGGTGGATGTTAGTGGAACAGTAGAAGAAATTCTGCAATATGCTGTAACAACGTATTCTGCAATTATTGTTCATTATGTGGAAAAGCACTTCTCTGTTTGCTTTAAAACCAGTTCCTGGTTAATTCTGTTATTATGAGATGCTGGGTGTTAATTATGTGCTATTCATATTCTTTACGCCAATCATGATTCCACTGGCCTCTGTCATATTTCCATTTCATTCTCTCTCAAGCTGAGAAGTTCCAGTCTACTAAATCTCTCCTCAAATGGAAACTGTTTCCTAACTCTGATAATCCTTATCTTTGTCATCAATTAAAATGCTATCTACTTCTCTGTATGGTGCATGGTTCATCCATATTATTGTTCATTTATTTGTGGTAATGAGAGTAATTATTTGCAACTCTAACACTATTCCCGACTCATGCCTGCAGAAGTGATCACCTGTGAAAAATAAGAATCCCACAGAGTTGGGCATCGGGATGCTTCCTCCTGAGCTCATCTGTTCCTGCTAGCCAGGAGAGGCTTGGCGGAGGGGGTGCGTGTCTTTCGCAGGACACTTTATAACACCTGTTTCAGAAGCCATTGTGACACTGTGCTTCTCTACCTAATCTCAAGGTTTTGATCTAGCAGCTTCCACGTACCTTCTCCTGCACCTTAGATCATTGCAGAAGTTTCTGTGCACAGCTATTGATGTACATATAGGACGTGGCAGTCACTGAAGAAAAAAAAAAGTCTTCTAGGATTTTTGTTTTGCTTGCTTTTAAGAAAAAGGAAAACAAGAGACGAGGAAAAATCCTCAATATGTGATTGCCTCCAGAATTTCAAATTATTGTAAAAAAGCCAACAATTCTGCTGATACAAAAGATCTCCTAGGTGGATTTGCCATCTCAGCCTACTGGCTGCTAAGCTGCTTTTCCATTTGCTATGGATATGCAATGTGCAGCTTTGTCAAGCCTGTATTTAGGGACAGGGCTCATTCCCTTTTCAGATACTAATTTCTTTTTGTCATCTGGAGGGAAAGCATTATCTTTATATATTATTTCCAGTGACTTTAAAAAAACCCAACAACCTGACCAACCAAATCTGTGCCCCCCCGACACTTACTCTATCTTTAATTGTACCTCATTTTTTAGTGGCTTTAAATGAGAAGCTACAATTAAGCACTATTTAGATGGAAACCATCAATTCTAATACCTTCTTTCTAATTAGCAGATTTTACACAACATCAAATCAAGGAGATAAGTCTCCTATTCATCTGAATTTTTAATTAAACAAGAAGCAAATGGAATAATTCTAGCAGACATTTAGATATGGATCAACAAATCTGAATAAACTGTGTTCATTTTTATATTTGTTTAAATAGATTAATAAAGCTAGAAAATTAATGCTGCACTTTATTGCCTCTACAAATAGTTTTCTTGAGAGAACAAAAAAACCTACTTGAATTCTAATGCTACCTATTTAGTCCTTGGAATGCTGCAATTAAGATTAGATTCAGTGTGATTGAAAATGACCATGTGCCTCCACATAATATTCTCTCACAGGCAAGGATATAAACCAAAGTTCACAGAAGGAGGCACCCTACCTGGACAGGGTATGTATGTAGTCCATTAATTTCCAAACAAGTTTAAATGGTAAAATGAACAAAATAATATTAAAAAGACACACTCATGTTGTTTGATGTTATTAATAAGTGTTGGTTGTATACTTCAGTATAACTGAAGTTGGGCTCAAATGTTTTCCAAGATTTCAGTCACGTTTGGGAAGCAGAATAGCTCTGTCCTCAGCAGGAAAAAAAAAGGCTGGGAGGTGGATTTTGTCTTTTTATTGAGCTAAATCCTTCTGTGAGGGTGTAAAGTAAAATCTGAAGAATCTGAATAGAGTCTTTATTTGTCACACTTTTATATCTGACTTTTTTTATATTAAAGGGGATGTACCCCTTAAATTAACTTGTGTTATCTTTTTTCTCTAGGAGTCCATCTTTGTCTCGGTATAGCAAGAAAATAAGGGAAGATTAAATCCAAAAGGAAATATAAAAGTAGTGAAAGTGTTTATTTTGATCTAGTTCTTACTGAAGTTGGTGGCAAGACTGCAAGTGATTTCAGTAAACACAGGTTCTCTGTTGTTTGTGCTTCTACTGTTTAAGAGGTTTGTTTTTACAGTGGCTTAAACAGCTCTGTTGCGAGATATTTATTTGAAGTCATTAAATCTAGTGTTTCACTTAGCTATTAGTTTTCAAAAGGTTTTTAACGAGCATAATATTGTGAGAGTTTGCTTGCAAAAGAGCAGAGATACGTTTAGTGTTGACTTTTTTTTTTTTTGTAGCTTGTCAGGCTCATAAACAAACACAAATTCAGTAATGCAGAACTCCACACAAGATACAAAGAAACACTTTTTTTCTTACTGATTTGAACAAATTTGACTTTATTATATTAAAATAATACACAATTACCCTTCTGTTCTTTCATCCATTTATACATGAATCTCAGGAAGTATTTTGAATATGAAACCAGGGGAATGTTTTGTGCCTTACTGTTCATTGTGAAGCACATAATGGCACCATCACAATCAGAAGGTATTGTTTATCTAGCTGACTTCAATAACACGATATAATTTTCTTCTGTTATGGAGTTTCATACTTGAACCCTTGATTGACTGTTAAACCCTTTTAAACTATCAAACTGTGTAAATGGAACACAAAGACTGCATAAAAATACTATGTATATGGATTTCATCTCTGTAGATAAAACATTCACCTGTCACAATTAGATGTCCTTGGTTTTAATAAAAGCATTGTTTTCTCATTGCATAGTGTCTTAGTGTTTGCAGATATGATGACTGGAATGTCACAGTGTTGAGCTTTAATACCATGCTAGTGATTGCGTCATTAGGCAGCAAAGTATTTGGAAGGGTTTAATCTCTTTTTTCTTGAAAGTAGAAACTGCAAGTATATATCTGGAATGTGCCTTTTTGATGACAACTCTGGCATCAAGGTTCTTTTCTGATTTGTGGTTTAGTAATATTCTGTTTTTACTTAAAATAGTTGACATTTCAGCTTGGAAAAGGAAGTGAGAAAGCAAAGTTTTCAACCAAGATGTGATAATTCTTCTGGCAGAGCAAAAATGTCATAGTTCTTTGATATTTTCAAAATATATGTTTGGAGACATGCTTTTTTTTTTTTTTTTTTTTCCTTCTTCTAATAAGGGAGATGATCTCTGTGTTCCCACAGTTCTATCAATGAAATGTTTGCATGGAGAGTACTTAGTTTATAATCCTGGATAGTAAATTGTAAAGTTATTGATGTAATGTTTCCTCTTTGGTAAACTATGGCTGCAGTTGGTACCTTTACTGGCACAGACTTAAGGGGCCCTGGAAACCAGGCTTTTCTTCCAGGTGCATAATTGCTACTTTTACAGGATAGATGAGCTGCATTAACCTAAATCTCTGCATGAAATTCAGCCAGCTCATTAAGATTCTTTGGATAAATATAGACCTTCCTCTGTGGGACTGCGCTAAATCATTTTAAAAGGAAGAAATTATAAGAGATAAATATGGCCCTAGCTCACCACTATCCATTTACCTCTTACAGTCTGAAAAGTCTGTGCAGGTTGGTTGTCCGTAGCTGCCAGGGCTATCTGATAGCGTTTTACCTGCTCACTGCAGCCACTTCATTTGTGTAAACGACCAGAAGGTGCAAGGGAAGACCGAGGCCCTATAAAACAGATTTGATCTTCTACTGGTACACGGGTGAGAATGGAGGAGTGCCAGCTTCCCCATTGTGTGTTCAGGGACCAGTGAGGTATGATAGTCGAGCCCCGGCCCTGCCCAGCTTTAGTGGCTGTGCTAGCCTTTGTGGGGACACAGAGCAGCCTGGACGTAGGTGCTGTCCTGCTCCGTTTTCGTTGAGGTGGGATTTGAGGGCGAGGGCCTACGCAGCACCGACTTTGCAGTATGTCTTTATGCTTGTGAACATCCTGCTAATCAAGAGAAAGAAGTAACTACTGCCTTCCTTATTAATCCCAGCAAATCCATCTGCCTGCCGATTTGTCTCAGCCCTTGTCCAGCGTGCCCAGAGGCTGGTGAGCAGCTTCTCAGCCTGCGAGGTGTGCGAAACCACAGGTAAGAGCCAGCAGCCCCTTCCCCAGAAACTCTGTGGTGGCAATGATAGAATTAATTGGTCGGGATCTACTAACAGAAAAGAACTTTCAGTTGGCAGTACTTTGAAAGGGATATAACATTTCAAATCACTTTGGGCCAGACCAGCTAATACAGTGTGGCAAAAAGATATATGGTGATTTTGGTTCAATTTATAACTCTTTGGGGGATAAGTCCAGCTTTCTACTGTAGTGACTGAATTTCCAAGGTACTGTTGTGAACATGGGTAGTCAGAGCAGTTAAACTGCTGAAAAAAGAGTCTGGAGAAGAACCTAGCTCAAGATATACAAACCAGACTAGCTGACACATACCCCATCACCGTCTGCTCAGACCCCTCTAGTGATGCTTTCTTCTTTTTCTTCATATGGCTATTTAAGTGTAAACTGAAGAAGAGAAAGTAATTGTTGTGTTGCATTAAAATATGCTTGTATGATCCAAGTAAGTAATGTCCTCAACAAGAAAAAAAAACAAACACATTGGTTTATACAGGAGAAACTTCATTTAAACCCTCTTTGTTCAAGGGAGTCAGAAATAAATAAGGGAACCTCAGGGCATTAGAACATATACTTGAGATTCAGAAAAGAACTGATCCTTCTCTGGACTCCTTAATCATCATTGCAGAAACAAAAGTAAGTGTCATACTGTCCTGCTGTGGTTCCTGGCAAGCAGTGTTGTTCTTTCACATTCTTCAAAATGCATATCAGTTACCTGAAGTTTTTAATAACAAATCTCACTTGGAGTGTGAACCGAAGCAGATGTGCAAATACAGAGGTCACGCTTTGTCTTTGCTTTGCCTTGTTCTCAGTACATGATTTACCTTTCTACACAGAACAAAAACTCTAGCTTGTTCTAAAAGTTTGAAATTTTTTCATCTCAACCCTGTGAACAGTTGCCAGGAGATCTGAGGAGGTACGTTGTGGTACAGAGGTGGGAGGGAGCAGCCAGGGGACACAGAGTAGCTGAAGCCATTGCTGTCGAATTCTTGTTATCCATAAATAATACTGTCAGCCCCTTGTCTCAAGATCTTAAAGTTGGTCTGAATAAGTGTTCTTTTGTACCATGTTTTCATAAATACCAATGACTCTCTATGAAGGCAAGCAATGGAGAGAGAGGCCTTTGGTTTTTATATTGCTGTTCCACACCAGTCAGGAATTTAATGGTAAAACAAAGTTTAACTGGATATAGCACATCTGTGGGGCCTGAAATGTTTTGATTGAGTTATCCCATGTGGTGAGTTCTTGCCAAATTGAGCTCTCCTGGTTCCTGGAGCAGCTCTTGGCAGGTCAGCCCAGGCAATGCCGCCTCCTCCTCTGCCTTGGAAAGGTCTGTCCAGTGGCACCAAGGACTGTCCAGGGCTTGGGGGCTTGAAACTCCAGCTGGTGGTCTTGGGCTACCACTTCCAACCTGCTGTAAAGCTAAAAGCAAGAAAATCCTGGGAGCTTGAACTCCACTTTGATTTCCATGTCTGGAGACACTGAGAGGCTTGGCTGAGGCAGGACTGCTGGAGCTCCTGCGTTCCCTGATGTGGAGCTGTGACTCTGGGCAGGCTTCCCAGGGCAGTCCTCAGCATCCCGGCTGCACCAGAGCCAGAGGGTCTCCGGAGCTCCCACAGCTACTGTGGAGCTGCCATTCACAGCAGCTGCTGCCATTGCCAGAGACTATGTCATTGCTCAGCCGCAGGCTTGGGAACTTGGGAATTGTGTTTTAGAAGTGTTTTGATGTTTCTGAAGTGACCTTTCTGGGAATTTCCAGTTTGTGGGCACTTTCAAAAGAGTTTGTTTCCTGCTTAGTTTGGACTAAAGCCACCAAATCAGATAAAACCCCAGTTCCTGCAAACCAGAGGCTTGGCTTGCCAGGCAGCTCTTCTGCTTGTGCCCCGTCTACTCTGGTGTTGTGATGGATCAGCTTCCTCTCCCCTAACAGCAGAGGTTCTGCAGTCCCGTGGCCCCTGAGGTTATCAAAACTTGGCCATGACGACATAATCAATCAGCAAGGTTAATAATATTTCATTGCTGATTCCTTCCATGAAAAGATTTCAGCTCTTAAGCAAAGCTTGAGAACAGGATGTGGAGTTTCTAACGTGGTCAGATTTTGGGAAAATATAAGGTGACCTTTGTCTTCACTGAGCATTTACATCTAGTAAATGTCTTTGTCTTTAGGGCCCTCTCTGGTAGTCAATGTTCATGTTTTAACTTCAAAGCTTCTAATACAATTTTGCATGGACTCTGACTAAAGAACAGCCTTCAGCAGGCAGTTCAATTCTGGGTTTTTTTTAGGGGGAAAGTAACTGAAAGCAAATTTCGGGCACATGTGACATTTTATGTGTGCAGTAGGTCCTTAAATATAAAACAAAACAGGATGCAACTCTGATTTACAGCTCTTGTAAATAATTCCCAGTGACATGGGCAGGATTGTGTATTATGGATATTTTCATTGCATAAACACTTACATAACGGTGACGATAGGAATTTACATAAAAAACAAAGCAGCCAAAACTTGATGAGTTTAACATTATAGGCTTTCCAGCAAATTTAAGTAGCAGGGGAACCTATCACTTAAGTGGAAGCTTACTTTATGAGGAAAACAGCAAAATTTATCGAAGCATATTAAGACCATAGTGAATGTTTAATAAATATTCACAGGAAGTTGCTCGGTTGTTAGTGACAGCATCACGGTCATCAGATCTGTTGCAGAAAAATTCATGTTTGAAATTTCCTCCTGCCTTGTAGCTTGTGAAAAATCAATGTGTGCAGCTGCAGTGTCGTGTTGTTAGAAACAAAATCTATGGAAGCCCCTAAGGAAAAAGGGAGCATGCCTCAATCCAGAGAGAGGCTGGGTACCTCCTGGAAGATGCTGAGTACTC